CGAGTTTAATAAAATGAATTCATCAGTTATGATTTCATTGTCTGTTCAATTTTATCTAGTTGCGTATTTCTGTACAAATTAAAATAAATGTTTCAAATTACCAAAAAATATGTTACTTTGACCATAACTCGACTAACATGATGATAACGAAATCAATTAGTGATAACAAGAATCATTTTAGTAAGTGTTTGAACTGCCTCCTTTCACGTAGAATAGGTACACATATTGCATCTTTTTAGTAATTCCCGATTCGTGACAGCTAAAAGCGTTTCTCACGTTATGGAAGCACAAACATTTGTGATACTATTTTTCAAATCCTCTACATTTTATGGACGTCGCATATAAACTAAGTATTTGATATATCCCCACAAAAAGAAATCGAGTGGAGTAATATTTGGACTTCGAGCTGGCCATGGTATTGGACCCTTATTTCCAATCCATTTCTCATTAAAAGCATCATCCAAATATTGGGTAACTATTATATTATTATGTGGAGGTGTCCCATCTTATTGAAACCACATATTTAGGCGAATTTGTATTGGTAAATTCTCCAAATTTGATAGATTCGGCAACACATGTTGCTGAATCTATCAAATAACCATCAATGATTCCGCACCAAACATTAACCCCCCACACAGACTAAAATCTCGTTTCTTGCACCCAATGAGGGTTCACGTCAGACCAATAATGACAATTATCTTTGTTTATTATACCGTTGTTATGGAAACGGCTTTCATCACTCCATAATATTTTTTCCAGAAACTGATCATCATCATGACTACGGGTGGACAACCATGAAATGAAGCTCAATCTTCTATCAGCATCTCCTGAATATGGGAATATATTTTAGTTATTAAAAATGAAACATGAAGATTATTACTTGGATGTAGATAGTCCTTGAACCAAATGTATTTTGTATGGATGGAATTTGTTTTTTGACAAAATACGTCGTATTGACGATTTCGAAATGTTATAATGCATTGTTACTTGCACTATATGGTTCCATAACACCTAGCACTGCAACACTGTGATTCTCATCAGTAGCCGTTTTTTGTTTTTTTCGCTTCCGTTCATTAAAACATCCATTTTGTGCCAAAGATTTGGCTAAGCCAGCGAATGTTTTGTCTGACGGTAATTTTCTGTCAGGATACCGATTAGCGTAGGTATATTCTCACTGCTTCTTTTGAATTCCTTCTTGCTTCGCCATAAATGCATATCGTATCCAACTTTTCTACATTTGAAAATTGAACCATTTTTCAATTTTACGAAAAACCAACACAAAACTGAATACACTTTCGTCAAATCTGACAGGTCTTCTGACTGATCGATAAATACATTATTGCATTTATTTTGACCTATTCATGGCCCTCTTTATAATACGCAATAAAATTGCCTTTTTTCATCAGTATTTAAGGAAAACTACGAGTGTGTTATATTGCTGAATTCAGAATTTAATGCAGAATTCAAAAACCAATTGAAAATACTACGTTACCATTTAAAAAAATTGGCATCGGTGTCAGATGACGCCTAGTACTGAATCTCTACGTAAATAAAAGGACCCTTTGACACCAAAATTATCTGCTTTCACGAAATATGGATATTCTTTTTCATTTTTTAGATATTTGCCTGCGGAGTATTATATGGGACACCCTACATTAACAAAACTATAAAGGTGTAACTCGTCAATAAAAATGTATTTTCAGTAGATACTCTAAATTGTAGCTTTATTGTATGTTAATTGGCGCCACTATTTGTTGAATAAACTGTCACCCAAGCCACATATTGATAAATTGATAAACGTCAAAGTATAAGCAATTTTCACGGAAAACCCGGTCAGAAATCACGTTTATTACTAGATATCTGTTGAACTATAGAAAAAGGTAGGTATTGAATAAACCGGTGACTGCCGCCTTGTGAAATTGAAGACTATACAGGGTGTCCCTGGACTTCCTCTTTTCCTCTCGGGAATGTATAGATGGGGTCAAAATATCACCAGTACGGGCCCTCGAAGTTACAAAATGAAAAATGTTTTTCTTTGATAACTTTTCAAGTGAACATTCAAAATCATCCAAATTTTGGTAATTGACTAAACAAATGAATTCCGTCGATGAGCTTTCATGCAGGAGTCAGTTGAAACACGTGTCGGGTTGTTGAAATAACGGTTTGGTGTTGGGAAATAACTTCAGTAATATTCAATATGGAAGATAACGATATCTTCGTGGGTAACAAAATACCTATGTCCTTGTAGGACCTCCGGAAATGGTAGCTCCTACAAGGATGGTTAAATGGAACAAAAGTTGCCTTTTTATGAATGCAACATAATGATATTCTCAGATTTTATTTTTTTGCTCTACCGCCTCCATTTTCAATATTATCAAAAAAGGACACAGGAACTTTTGGGTTTAACCCACTTTCCAATGCGACGTTTCGTTCATTGAAATCCATCTTCAATATATTTTTTAAATACGGACCTTTTATACATTTTGTTAGGCATTGTAATCACAAATTCATTGATATATTACAACATATGTATTTCTCAACGTTTTTCCTGAAAACCTATCATCAATATTCTATAAATTTTTCATTAAATGCTCGAATTTCCGAAAGTTACTGAAATTCAAACACATCAGTTCTCCCGTCGGTGATGTCGTTCATTGAGATCCTAAAATTTGTATTCACTGAAATCCAAATATATTTCTATTTCAAGGTTGTCTTGAATAACAGAGACCAATAATTTTTGTATCAATACCATGCCATTCATAATTTTTTTTGAAAATGTTTAGCTATCCAAATATTTCTGTTCAGAAAATGACTATGTCAACAAGAATTAACTAATAAAAATAGTGTATCAAAAAAGTCATAGACGATATTCAGATGATATTCACGGCCCAAAATTTCCCAACTTTTTCCCAAGTCGAAAAAGCAAGAGGGGAGGCTCCCCCCATCCCCCCCATAACGACGGCCCTGCATGTATGTGAATGTCGAGTTAATTGTCAAACACAAAATAAAACAGTTAGGTATTCGATTTGGTGAGCATGCATTTTTCCAATGACGAAAAAGTGAATATGCTTTTTGTTTATTCGAGATGCTTGAGAAATGTTACCAATAACAGTGCTTTTAGCTACACTAAATAAAAAATAAACAACATAATCCTAAAATTCAAAATCAAATATAAAATATCAATATAAAAATTAGTAACTCGATTGATTCTAAATATCTGCGTCAAAATAAACTCCGGTTTGATGCCAAGGAGGGGGTTTATAAAAAAATTTTTACCAAATCTCTGGCAATGTACCTACTTATCAGGAATTGTATCATGAACGACGACAACCTAATCATAAATATTTTCAATGTGTCGAAAATAGTTTACGAAATTATGGATTCTTTGGAAAACCCTCCAAAAGAAACTGGTTACCGAATGTGTGGTGGTGATAATGAAATCGGCGTTTTAGGTGAGTTCAAAAAAATCACAATACCTAATGATGAAGTGACATTCATTTGATTTAAGATTTGTAGTAAATAAACAAATTGAGAACAAGGAAGTGTCCATGAGGAAGATTGCTCATAATTCGGCCTTGTCGAGTCAGAAAAGTCCATCATTTGCGTTTGACAACAGGAAAAACGTTTTTTGTAGATGGCAAATTTGCAAAAAAAATTGTGGTGTGATGAAATTAGATTTACCAACAACGGATGGTTCAACAGGAATATACCTACATTATTTCATGAAGGAGACAAGAAAATTAATATTTACATATAATTACCAATTTTCAAGTTGAGGTAGCCAGCAAGGTCTCCAGACTTAAGTGTTATGGATATATTCTTAAGGGTTTCACTGAAAAATAGAGTTTATGGTCAGAGGGAATATCAAAATATTGAGGATCTTCAAAACGGCATTGTTAGAGAGTTCGGAAGATTGAAGGGGAGGGAAATTAATCGTGCAGTGAATAATATTCGAAGAAGGGGACAGTTGTGTTATCATTAACAATGCAAGCATTTTGAACATTTGCTATGATTTACTTACGTCTTCACATTTCAGTTAATTATTGTTATTTGTTCAAAGTTCCATTTTTATTGAAAAGGACACAATGTCTAATTTACCTCATATATACCTCATTTATCAAATTTTCTTTGGTTTCCTGTTCCATTCTATCTCCGTGTTTTTCCTCGGCTTTTCAAATGAACCAAACTCGGTGAGATTTCGATCCAATAACTTGAACATACCTAGTTCGATGTGGTTGTCGACTTTTGGAATAAAAGTTTAAATACATTTCCGATGTCTTAACACTGTTTCTATCGCATCTGTAATAAATTTGTATCATATCTTTTTTTCTCATTCGTGAAAGCCATTTTTCGCTAAAAATTCAATGACTTGTACGATAACAAAATGTCATTGAGTGGAACAAATTGAAAGTCAAATTTAGAAACATCAAAGTCAAAGCCTATTATGATAAGAATACATTTTTTTCAATATCTCCAATTTTTGAAAAAGAATGATAACTTATGACACATCATTGAAAAGGGAAAATCTGGTTCTATTCAAAATAGAAAGAATCCAATGTAGCGACCATAAAAAAAATAAAGTTGCTGATGGTGGCCGGAAGACGAAACGTCGGATAGCAAATCTGAAAACACCATTATGTGTCTAGCAGAGAAAAAGTGGCAATGTGGAAGTGTAATTTATTTTCGTATCCTTCGAAAAATAAAGCCAGAAAAAAAATAAAAACTATTTTCCAAAATATCTGTTTTTTGCGGATATTTACGGATATACTAAGAATTTCAGAACTTTCTCAACGGCATATTGTTACTCAGGTAAATCTGCATCGATGATAAAAAATTATAGGACGCCATAAATAGATATGCTTATTTTCAAACACTAATCGATCGCTTTTTGTCCGCATTAATGATGGAATAATTGGGAATAAGGATTGAGAATATTAATTAAAAATTGATAGAATGAAATTTATTCTAAAAAATACAAGAAAATACCTACTACATGACAAAACAATGAAACACAAACAGTTTCTAGAATTTTACAAGCTGAGGTTGTATATTTTTCCAGAATTCATAATATTTTACAAGAAAAGATCATGAGAATTTCCAAACTGAACCACAACTAATCTGTACCTAAATATATCTACCAATAATTGATGATAACTATTCAAAGAATCTTATTGTAGGTAGTGTGAAGATTTCCCATTCGTCAATGTGTAATTGAAGAATTAATTTACATTCATTTGTTCGGTGTGTGAAGAGTTTTCTCCAAAGTTTTCCCACTTTCCATGGAGTGAAGTCGAAGTAAAAAGTCAAAAAGTTTTTCTCCAATAACAAATTTGAGTTTTTACTTTGTTGCCCTTCGCGATTGACTGGTTTTATTCGTTCGAAATAGATAACAAAAATTCTAATAACTTTACAACTCGAACTAATCCTTTCCACCTGATATTACCCAAATCGGTCTTTAAGATAAATCCTCCTAATTTGTTACCCCACAAGATTCAAATAATAAATTACACTCTTGTACTCTCATTTGCGTTCGTGTATCCGTATTGTTTTCGAAGGTTTACAGAAAATACACAACAATAGTCCTCACCAAATACATTAGAATAACAAAGGATTCGTTACACACGTAGGCGTCGAATTCGAGGCCTTTTAAACTAATTAAATATTGCTTAATATCGCAGCCAGTTTTTAAAGGAAACGCGATTGGAGCTCGCAGACACCTTCAGCCATGATTCGGTACGCGTCCTCCTGATTGGCAAACTGCGTAGTGTTAGCTCCTCCCACTAATCACTAAATCCTTATCTCCCCGCAATAGGTAACTTAGCGCTCTTTACGCTTCAGTTGCACGCAGTGTTTGTTCTGTTTGTGTGTTATATTTTTAATTGTACATCGCTTGTCAGAGGCGTTCGTTTTTTATAGAGTGGTTTTCCATCGGATTTTGGATGTTACAGTGCGTTCCTAGCGGTCTCCGCTAAGTTCACTAGGAATGGTGTATCACGCACAAACTGGACCAATTTATCGTCATCAATCAGCAAACGGGTATTTCCAGACAAATTCCCCGATGCATTCGTGGTACGCGTATTCCCAGCCAGCTCAGCTGGGAGCAGCCCCGAATCCGTATTGTGTACAGGAGGAGCAGCAAATGTGGCCCCATCACCACCCTCACGCCGTATTCCCTCACACGGACTTTCAGGACTATATGCACACAGGGATCCCGCCTATGCAGCATCCGCAGCATCAGCTCGACCCGGAAAATCACCAACTCCCTTCGCCTCCGACGACGGTGTCGGGAAGTGAACTATCAAGTCCTGGGGGACAGAATGATAATATATCGTCGCACAGTCATAACTCGGCGCGGCCTCCCCGGGTTAAAAGTCCCTTCGTGTGGATGAAACCGTCTCATCATGCTCAACCAAATCCTGGTAGGTCATTTTTCACATATTATATTTCTTGACACCGAACTTGAGTTCTTGCCGCGGCATATAGAAGGATCTACTTCTACTTCCGAGTTTGTTTTTATTCGCTGGATTCATATTTTCGCTATTATTTACAAGGACGACCAGAGCAAAAAGGCATGCTAACCAAAAAACCGTTTTTTGTTCACTATATAAAAAAGTCTTGATTATTTGGGATTTGTTTCGTATACATGATGTTCTTTTAAACGATCCACTCCAACAATGTCAGAAACCTAAAAGAGATCCGAGAAAAACTTTCTAATCAATATGTACTTCCATATTTTTAATGTCAGACGTTTGTTTTTGTTGTTTTAAACATCTATTTTTGTATCTAATGAACAATAAAAAAGCAAACCCTTCGACAGACAAAATCTAAACAGTTATCTACCTAATTGACATAATTCAGTATGAAATATGTCACTAATTTGAAATTATTTACTAGTACCTGATATATATACAATCAACTCAACGCAATCATGATTATGAAACCAAAATATGAGCCAATGAGATCAACATTAATTACACTACCTATTTTTCGGGTTTGAAGGCCGTGAATTTTTGGAATAAGCTTATAGACGGGTTTATAATACTTTAACGTGTCCAGTTACTTCTGTATCGGAAACAAAAGATTTTATGAGCGTTCGGGTTGTTCTCTACCTGCAGTGGCTTGCGTTTGGATATTCAATCAAAAATACTCGTTCACAATAGGTATTTATTTATATACAATTAATATTTTAACTCAAAGTATTTAAATAATAATAAATAGGTATACTAGTTTCAGAAAATATTAGGGATAAGCCAAAATGATGATGTATCATCAGATAAATCCAGTTAATTTTAGTTGAAAGGTTCTTCAATTTATTCAACTAAATGGTCTGATTTCCACACGATGACTTCTTCTTTTATAATATGTTCAATATATTTTCGGCACTTTAAGAACTCAAAGATTTCATAAACTACTGGACTTAATAAACAAAATACTTTCTAAAACATTCTACGCAAAAGCGATTTTAGATGTTTTTCCTGTTGATAAGTTAGATAATCAAAGTCAAAATTATAGAGCTTTAACGTATTTTGGACAAATAATACAAAAAGGGGCTTCATTTTTGAGGAAATGAGATATTAAAATTACATATAAAACGAGTAATACGTTGGGAAAGTTAATTAAAAATAATAAAGACAAAACATCCAAATTCGAGAAATCAGGATTATATAAATTAAGGTGTGGAACGTGTCCTAAGGTATACATTGGTCAAACTGGCAGATCATTTAGAAATCGAATCCGGGAACATCATATGAGCTATTTAAATAAGAAAACAAGTTCAACATATTCAAATCATCTTTTAGAAGAAAATCATAGTTCGAAATTTCACACATAGAAAATAAAGGTTTTAAACTTATTCATTCGGAAGCAATGGAAATTAAAAAAGTTCAAACATTCTAATGAATAACCAACTGGATTTGAATAGATCATCATTATTGAATTTGTTTTCTTAAAAAACCGAGGAAGTATTATTATTGATATAGAAGTGAGGTAATATCTATGCTTCAGGTAATCATAATTGAAGAAGAGGTACCTCAGGCATATAAAAATTGTAAAATTTAGGTAGGTAATTTGATGGAGGTAGTCCTAACCCAATGGGGAATATTCCTCCTGACGAAAATCAAGTAGTTTTCATAAAAGAGCTCTAAAACAACGCATTTTAAACTCATTTCAACCTTTTTCTTTAAAACATTATTCAAATACTTAAAAAAGAGGAATGAAATATTGCATTCAACATTTAAAGGGATTCGTTTCTATTTCACTATTTGGCAACATCGGCTACAGCTAATAAAGGACAATGAATCTGTTACCTGTATGAGACAAACAAAGATGACATATTTCAGAGGCGTGCATGCTGTTCTGTTTACTCATGTTCCGAGTTCCAAGACATTCTGTGACATATGACATTTTGTGCACCTAACCTATCTTACTCTATATAAATAAATAACAAAACAACTGTTGTTTATGTGGCTTGTGGAGGTGGTATTGAACTATAATTTATATTTTTCCTCAATTGTTGATTTATAAAGATAATTTTCCTTTTTTAAAGTAGAATATCTAGGTACATATAAATTATTTCAACTTGATATAGGCGCTGTTGCCAATATGTGAATTAGAAACAAATCCCTTTAAAAATTAAAACCCAACATTTGAAACATCAATTTGAATACTTCTCGAAGTGAATTTGAAAAACTCATGAATTAAACTCAACTTTATTTTGTTCAAACTTGCATTTGCTGTAATAACCCAAATTGAGGTACATTCACCATTATACTGTCAACAGACACATCGCACCCATCAATAAGACCGACTTGGCCTTTTAGCGGAGTTTTCGTGATATTCTTCAGTTTACTTCGAGAGCGCCTTGAATAAGCAGCTATACAACAAGGAAGCTAGTTGTTCGGGAATCGTGAAGCGTCCGAAATTGTCACCTTTAAATATAAATGAAAAAACGATTGTTATGAATGTATATAATTCTTTGAGAATACAATATCCGCCCGAAATAAAAAGTAAGGAAGAAATAGTGCAAGTATGACCGGTGTCAATAGATCGACAATTTTTAGAATTCTCAAGTAACTCAAGGAAAACAACAAGTTTTTCGAGCCGAAAGTATACAGTGGTAGAAAGTGTTTGGTTATCGATGAAGAAGTCAAAAATTCTATTAGGAGAACAGTACACTCTTTTTACATAAAAAACGAAATACCTACATTAAATAAAGTTTTGTCAGTTATTTGTGAAGACAGTTTTTTTTCCTGATATAAGAAGAACTCGATTATGGCAGTTATTACATGAGCTGATTTTCACTTTTGGAAAGCATGATAGAAAGAGTATGTTAATAAAAAAATCAGAGATTGTAAAATGGAGAAGAAAATATTTAAGAGAAATACAGAAAGCCAGAGCACTAGGTTAATCTATTTTTTTGGGATGAAGCATGGGTCAATGAGGGTCATACCGTCTCGGAGGTTTGGCAAGATCAGAAAATCAAAAGTGGAAGACAAGCCTTTATGGAAGGTTGGTCCACTGGTTTGAAAATTCAAGTTGGAAAAGGTCGTCGTCTTATCATCACTCACATAGGCAACAGTGTAGGATTCGTGAAAGATGGATTGATGGTGTTTGAATCTAAAAAAAATGGGGATTATCATCAAGAAATGGATGCCACAGTATTCGAAGATTGGTTCAAAAACATACTTGTAAAACTTCCGCAGGGATCAAAGCTATTTTTTTTCAATCGACCATGTTAAAAGCGGAGCTCCTCAACTTGGCTAAACGTCACAAGTCAAAATTCGTCAGGTATGTCATCGATGAGATGGCGAAGACTAAAGGAATGTCGGTTCTTCGGTTGCCGCCTTATCACTGTAAATTGAATCCAATAGAGTTGGTTTGGGCTGAAGTTAAATGATTCGCAAGGCATCGCAAGGAATAATAAGACCTTCAAGCTGTGTGAAGTAAAGAAATACCTATACAGTGCTCTGAACACAGTCGACCAAAAAGCTTGGGAAAAATGTATCCACAAAACAATCAGAATAGAAGCAGAGATGTGGGATCTGGATGATCGCATAGACTCATTATCAGAAAAAATTATTCCAGTTGTCATCAATCCTAATGAAACTGATTCATCCAGTGAAGAATCACTCAACGAATCCCTGTAGACTTTATTCAGATGAAAATTATCGCAATGTCTTATTCGAAGTAAGTATTCCTATTAAATCTATAAAATTGTTTTTGAATTAACTATAAAATCCAATAAGGAATATGAATCTTCATTTCCAAATCAACAATAATATATAAAATATATCTCTTAGTGCAGCCACACTTTTCTACTTCCTGAAAATGTCAAAGTCGAAGCCGAAACGTCGAACAACGCAAAATTTTGAACGCGGTTCAACTCTAAATGAGATGTTCAAATTTCTAACTGCGGAAATCTATTCTATTTGTATACTTATCTGGTGATATTTAGGATACTTTATCCATCTTCATTATCATACGATCAATTTGATAAACTTCGAGCGGTACTTTTGACGGTATTTTCGCATTCTTTGTCGGTGTTTTTGCGTTCTTTGTCGCATATCCCTATTTTAATGGCTCGTTAGCGGCGTCCTCAAGGGATATAGATGGTAGACATATCTCAATGATTTTGTGGGTGTATTTCAGTGCTGTTTGCTTGAGACGACTATGTTGCTTTCTTTGAGGTAGCGACATGTTTGCATTCTTGAAATTCTTTTACTCTCAGACAATACTGAACGAACTATAGTACTTGTCCAAGGACACCACATTTTAAACAGGTAACAAAAATTTCAAGAAAGTATATCGGAACCAATATCGAATTTCAACACTCAAATTGCGATCAGTTCCTGAACTAAACATTTACAACACGACGGTAACACCGTTAATTTAATTATATAATTCTTCAGCCAATCATGAAACTCTGTTAGTAAAAATCATCCAATACGAACCGCCAAGTCTATATAGTCCACGTGGACTATTCGGCAACGGCTTTATTTCTTTGTATTGCTTCGCCGATAGCTTTAACTATGCACTATACCGATTACTTCGACTATACCTGTGGTATATAAATATTAGCGTGAGAAGCAACTTGTAGTATTCAAATAACTGTTGAAGAAGCTATTGTGTTAGCGAAACATGTGATATATTTCTCAAATAAAGTTTGTAGAGATCAAATCGTGAGGTGTAGTTTATGAAATTACTATGGATCTTCATCAAATAACGGCCGATTCAATCAGAAAAAATACTCCTTAAGAGTATTTTGACACGAGCCCAAACCAGTTCAATGGCATTAAGTTCGCAATGATAAGGGGGCAGAAGCAGAATTATAGTATTTCGTTTCTATGCCATCTTGTCGACTTAGTAGGGGAGCCCACGATGCAAAATGGGGATTTACTTGAGCGTCATAGGGACATATTAG